TTTTATAACCCAACCCTGATCTGTACTTCTCCACAACTTTGTCCCTGACCTGTTTGGAGAGCTCCTTGGTCTTCATGGTGCCGCTTGCTTGGTGGTGCCCCTTGCTTAGTGGTGTTGCAGACTCTGGGGCCTTTCAGAACAGGTGTATATATACTGAGATCATGTGACAGATCATGTGACACTTAGATTGCACACAGGTGGACTTTATTTAACTAATTATGTGACTTCTGAAGGTAATTGGTTGCATCAGATCTTATTTAGGGGCTTCATAGCAAAGGGGGTGAAAACATATGCACACACTACTTTTCCGTGATTTATTTTTTAGAATTGTTTTAAATAAGTGTGTGTGCCTGACATCAGAGCTTAACAGTAAGGGGGGATGTGTGTGTAGCAGCCAAGTAGAGGAGCCATTAAATAGCACCACGTCATGAATCACACACATAAGCAGAACCCCATTGTGTGTTAGTGTGTGTCTGTAAGACAGACAATGTCATTCTTCAGCATAATTATTGTTCATTCAGCGAATCAAGCGGGGTAAGAGTAGTCTCCTCATACTCCCACCCAGGCCTGGTCTGCTCTTCCATATCTCATCTCATCACTGTGACGGTACTGGGTTAGTGTGCATGTGTACAGTGTGTTAGTGTGTGTGTTAAATTGCCTGGCACTGTGCTGAGGCTCAGATCTGAAGCCCAGAGCAGGGAGGGACTTGGACCAGATGTTCATCTCTACATCAACAAACCACTCTGGAAACGTTCCCACATGACCATGCATGCACACACACACAAATACCCTCTGCTCTGCAACAGGTCTTCTCTCCTCTCAGATGGCAATCATCAACCCCGCCCTGCCGTGACCAAGAGGGAATCGAACCACGTCATCTGCACACTTCAAGACCATGTAAGCCCACTAAGCTAAAGCCTATGCATGCAACAGCACCACTTTGCTTTGGAAATGCAACAACTTAACATAGTTGTTGGCAAGACAACAGCACTATACCATTGGCAAGACAACAACACTATACCATTGGCAAGACAACAACACTATACCATTGGCAAGACAACAACACTATACCATTGGCAAGACAACAACACTATACCGTTGGCAAGACGCAACACTATACCGTTGGCAAGACGCAACACTATACCGTTGGCATGACAACAACACTATACCGTTGGCAAGACAACAACACTATACCATTGGCAAGACAACACTATACTGTTGGCAAGACAACAACACTATACTGTTGGCAAGACAACAACACTATACCGTTGGCAAGACAACAACACTATACCGTTGGCAAGACAACAACACTATACCATTGGCAAGACAACAACACTATACCATTGGCAAGACAACAAAGACTTCTTGGCAACCCTAAGCAGAAACTGGCTAGCAACACCAAATCTTAACAAATCTCCATCCACGTTTTGAATTTCTATTTCTGAAACAACATTGTCCTACATGTGTAACTGTAGATATGTAGCGCACTCAGTGCCAGAGGAAAACAGGACATTGTTTAGTAGAGGTGTAAATAGTGTTTGATGTTAGCTAGTGGTTTGTGATGATAGCAGTGGTGCATGGAGGCCAATAGCCTGTTCTTCTGCTGTGGGATATGTTGAAGAAGGAACCCTTTAGGATAAATATAGGCATTAGTGTCCCAGTTAAGATTTCCCTCATGAAACTCTAATAAAACAAAAGCTTGAGGAGTGGCTTTGCTAAATCACTACAGTTGAACATGAACAGTATGTTGATATCTGACTTCTATAGTGAGTTCAGTGATTGCTGCATCTTGTGCTCACTAACTGGATTAGAGAGTCACTGGTCTAATCCGCTGTCTTCTCGAGAACCATAAAAAAACAAGGATATCTCTCAGAATCAGAATTCTGTGCAGTAATATTTTATTTCAACTATACATGCCGTGTTAAAAAAAAATTCAACAAAAAGTCCTGAAACAAAAGACCATCATTATGTACACATTCACAGTTCCAACTTTACAACATATCTACAAACATCAGGATGTCTACTGTCCAATCAGAACAGTATTAGAAAGGTAATGTCAACGAGTCTGGTTCATCTGCACACGGAGAGCATAGATAGACAGGAGGGTAGAAAGGCTTTAGACTGACACTGCAACACAGAGACACAGGTCAATATGGCAATGTACAAGACATTAGAGCACAGCCCGTCTGTCTGGAGGAAAGGAACAGAGGTGTGTGTGTGTGTGTGTGTGTTCCTGCATGTGTGTGTGTGTCTCTCTAAGCCCAACACCGGTTAGCAGAGGATGACTGATAGCCAAGACTTTAATTAATACAATCATCTCTTTTAAAAAAAATCGGGTTCCAAACAGGCAGACAAATTCATTCCCAAAATAAAGTAAACGTACCCAAATCATGAACCTCATTCACAATGTAAGATCGTACCCAAATCTTTTTTTAAAGATTAAAAACATTATCCTGTTTTACATCATGTCCCTGTCACATGACCACTGCTCACTCTAATGTAACAGTTTATTAAGACATTAGATCTATAATAATTACCCGGAGTGTTTACCTTAATACTGGGTTGGATGTTTTATTGAGTACTGTATTGACTGTTTACTGTATAGTGGCTGTATCGTGCCTTGTTGAGCTGAGTGTTTCAAAGCAAAGCGTTTAGAAGAGTCAGTCTACATCCCCATGCCATTATATTACATTCACTGCATGGAACCTCAGCTTGGTCTATCAGCAGCCTTCTTCTTCATGAGGTCATATACGGATACTGTAATCCCAGCATGCTTTGCTTCAGCCTGCATTCTGTATTGGAATGTTGGTGAATAAACCGGCTCTTAGTTCTAGAATCGAAATAACTGCAGTTTGGTAGATAAATAAAAACCAAAATTTCACGCTGAATTCAAATAATCAGAGTTGCTTAGGCTATATTGTAACAACAATGACATTCAAGACCAAATCACTTTTTTTTCTCAATATTACTGTATATCGATAATTCGTTGAATAAGGCACACGATGCACAGATTGGGCTTAACTGGCCTAAAAATATGTATACTCATATTTATAATATGTACAGTATCTTGTCATTACCAGCATGACTCGGTAGGACACATTGGTAGATGTTGGTGTGATTGTACACTTGTCACTCACTGGGAAACTGCACACACACAACACTGCCTCTGGAACCAAAATGGCCACCAGAGAGCCAAAGTTCCCCCTAGACACTGATCTAAGATCAGTTATGGGTTTACCCTCTAAATGGTTAAGATTAGGTTTGAGAGAGGGCAAGCTGATCCTGCATCTGTACCTTGGGGCAACTACCACACAGAGAGCAGTGTGTGAACTCCCACAGGAGCACAGAGACTAACACTAGTGACAGACATGCAGTTGGCAGGTGAGACAGGTGAGACAGACAGACAGACAGACATGTTACAGAACGCCATTTCAACCTCACAGAACAAAACCCATTGGTGTTGCATAAAATGTTTACATCTTTCATTTCTGAATAAAATAAAGAACATGTGAAAACCAAACCAAAACAACACCAGCATGTTGAAGTGGGTTGGATGAAATGTTTCTAAATACCACTCTGCTACATTGAAAGACTGGAGGAAAGGTCTCTGCAATTGCCACCAAACTAAAGCCAGTCTGTATCTGTATGTGACAGGAGAAGTGGAGTGTGTTATGTGCTATTTCAGTAACAGAGAGATACAGGACTCTGATGTCAGTGGAGCCTCTTCTAACAGTGCATTGACATGGTGGAGGACTGAATTGCACGGTCTGTACACACACACACACACACACACACACACACACACACACACACACACACACACACACACACACACACACACACACACACGTCAGGAGACAACGGCAGCTGTAGAATACAGACGCATAAGAGGACAAAATACACACAGCATACAGTACTCATCATAAACCAATAGCAATATACATTACTCATCATAAACCAATAGCAGCAAACGTGTTTAGTAGATATCCCAGTGAGTTACAGAGGGTCCCTGTTAGGGTACGTAGGCAGCCAAGCCTTTCACCTCCCCAAACAAAGTGTGTGTGTATGTGTTCACTGTACATTGGGTTTTGCCCTCCAACTGACACACACTGATGTTCTCTGTTGCCTGCCTTCCTTCCTTCCTTCCTTCCTTCCTTCCTTCCTTCCTTCCTTCCTTCCTCCCCAGTCGTTATAGTTTAGTGAAACACCTCTAAAGGGACACTATGTTTACTGTGTCTCTTCTCTGCTCTCCCCCATCAGTCAGACAGATAAGATACAAACATTTATATCGTATTCCTCTCCTTGTTCAGTTCAGTCCAGTTCACATTTATGGGAAGACAGAGGGTGTCCCCCAAATGGCACCCTTATTCCCCGTATAGTGCACTAGGTTCAACCAGTCCTATGGGTCGTGGTCAAAAGTAGTTCACAACAAAGGGAATAGGGTGCCATTTGTGACACAGACAGACAGACAGACAGTGCTCAGTGACAGTGAGACATCAGACCCATTCTTCAAGTAGTTCTCTGAGTTAGACCTCGTACCGTCCACAGTCTGGGTCATAGGGCCAGGCTACACACTGGGGGCCACACTAGTCCCCTACAGGACCCCTACACATACTGGAGAGCCACAGACACCCCATCTACCCCCACCCTGCCTTATGTCCTGGGGCTGGGCTGGGGTTAGTGAGTCAGGGTCAGGGGTCAGGGTTAGAGGAGACAGACCAGTGTGTTGTGAGATGGAGAGAAACATGGAGCCACAAGACAAGACACAGAACTCCACGTCACATTTTTCGCCACTGGTGTGATATTCCCTTTTTAGAGTGAAAGAATGAATGTGCCTATCATTCCATGGGGAACACACCCCGACACACACACACACACCCGGTCCTACTCCCTCCCTAAGTCTTCTCACAACTAGTCTGGCCTTAGAGCACACTCAGTAGAGGCCCTGCCCTGTCCCAGTTAGTACACTTGGTAGTACACTCCATAGTGTCTATAGTGTCCTAGTAGCTGTACTTGTTGACCACCCTCATCTGAGGAGTCTGTGGGGTGAAGGCGTTGGGTTTAGGGGGGACGTCAGGCTTTAGGGACGGTGTCCGTTTAAGCCCCTGGCGGGGGAGCGAGCAGTGCCCACTGTAGCTGCTCTGGCGGGACAGGGAGGGGGGGTGGGGGTGTTGATGGGGGGAGTGGAGCCCCCCTTGGGAGTCCAGTCTGGAGGGAGGGGTGGGGGGCATGTACCCCCCTCTGTTCATACTGTGTTGGCGGGACAACGACACCCCCATACTGACCCCGTTAGGAGAGGTGGAGGTGAGGGAGTGTCTGTGGGAGGAGCTCCTGTGATGAGAGCCGTACCTCCTCTCCAGGGTGCCGCTCATGCTTCCTCCCATACCCAGGCTGCCTGTGGGGGAGCTGGGGGTGGAGGGCAGGGGGACGTCCACCCTCTTGGTGGGGCTGTGCCTGGGCAAGGAGGAGGAGGAGGAGGGGGAGTAGAGAGAGGCCTCTCGGCTGGGGACCTTGGGGGGAACCTCAGTGATGTCCCCTAGAGGCTCCAGCATCAGGTGTTGCCTGCTGGGTCGGGGCGCTGAGCCGGCCCCCTCCTGGAGGATAGCCTTAGAGCTAGCATTAGCCGTGTTAGCATCGTTCAGGTGTTTCAGCAAGTCGTTCAGAGTGTTCCTGGCATCCAGTGACCTCTTCTGCTCCTTCCTGCTTCCTTTAGAATGAGGGGGCGTGGCCTGCAGGTGTTCCATGTTCTGAGGCTTCCTGTCCAGGGTGCGAGGCGGCGTGACGTCATCGGCCGGGTTTCCATGGTAACCACTGCGGTATTCGTGCGTGGCGTTGGGAAGGACGACGGCGCTAGGGATGTGGGGGTGTCCCAGCGCAGGGTGGGGGTGTGGCTGGGGGTGAGGAGGGGGGGAGGAACTGGGGTGGAATTGGGGACTCTTGGCGATGGAGGAGGAGGAGGTAGAGTTGGAGCTCTTCCTGGATCCATTGATCTTCCCGTGGTGATTGGCTCGCTCCCACTGGTTCCTGATTGGCTGCAGGCCTTTCTGCTGCAGCACAGGGGTAGACTCGGGGGTGGGCAGGGCGGCCAGCTCGGGGGGCTGACAGCCGTCCCGGAGGATCATGGTCTTGGTGTCTCCATTAGGCGTCAGGTCCTTACCACTGCTCAGCAGGTTGGTGTACAGCTTGGGACAGTCCAGACCTGGCTGGTACTCCTGGAGACAAGACAGGAAAGGAAGACAGAAGAGAGGGCTTTGTTCATTTGGTTCCTCCAGCCAACACATACCGTACATACATACATACATGTATACATACAGTGCATTCGGAAAGTATTCAGACCCCTTTACTTTTTCCACATTTTGTTACGTTACAGCCTTATTCTAAAATTGATAAAATAAAATAAAATCCTCAGCAATCTACACACAATAACAAAGTGAAAACAGGTTTTTAGACAATTACAAATTAAAAACAGAAAAACCTTATTTACATAAGTATTCAGACCCTTTGCTATGAGACTTGAAATTGAGCTCAGGTGCATTGTTTCCATTGATCATCCTTGAGATGTTTCTACAACTTGATTGGAGTCTGTGGTAAATTTACCTGTGGTAAATTCAATTGATTGGACATGATTTGGAAAGGCACACACCTGTCTATATAAGATCCCACAGTTGACAGTGCATGTCAGAGCAAAAACCCAAGCCATGAGGTCGAAGGAATTGTCCGTAGAGCACCGAGACAGGATTGTGTCGAGGCACAGATCTGGGGAAGGGTACCAAAACATTTCTGCAGCATGGAAGGTCCCCAAGAACACAGTGGCCTCCATCATTCTTAAATGGAAGAAGTTTGGAACCACCAAGACTCTTACTAGAGCTGGCCGCCTGGCCAAACTGAGCAATCGGGGGTGAAGGGCCTTGATCAGGGAGGTGACCAAGAACCCGATGGTCACTCTGACAGAGCTCTAGAGTTCCTATGTGGAGATGGGAGAACCTTCCAGAAGGACAACTATCTCTGCAGCACTCCACCAATCAGGCCTTTATGGTAGAGTGGCCAGACGGAAGCCACTCCTCAGTAAAAGGCACATGACAGCCCGCTTGGAGTTTGCCAAAAGGCACCTAAAGACTCTCAGACCATGAGAAACAAGATTCTCTGGTCTGATGAAACCAAAATTGAACTCTTTGGCCTGAATGCCAAGCGTCACGTCTGGAGGAAACCTGGCACCATCCCTACGGAGAAGCATGGTGGTGGCAGAATCATGCTGTGGGGATGTTTTTCAGCGGCAGGGACTGGGAGACTAGTCAGGATCGAGGGAAAGATGAACGGAGCAAAGTACAGAGAGATCCTTGATGAAAACCTGCTCCAGAGCTCTCAGGACCTCAGACTGGGGTGAAGGTTCACCTTCCAACAGGACAACGACCCTAAGCACACAGCCAAGACAACGCAGGAGTGGCATAGGAAAAGTCTCTGAATGTCCTTGAGTGGCCCAGCCAGAGCCCGGACTTAAACCTGATCGAACATCTCTGGAGAGACCTGAAAATAGCTGTGCAGCGACACCCCCCATCCAACCTGACAGAGCTTGAGAGGATCTGCAGAGAAGAATGGGAGAAACTCCCCAAATACAGGTGTGCCAAGCTTGTAGCGTCATACCCAAGAAGACTTGAGGCTGTAATCGCTGCCAAATGTGCTTCAACAAAGTATATGAGTAAAGGGTCTGAATACTTATGTAAATGTAATATTTAAGTTTTTTATTTTTAATAAATAAGCAACCATTTCTAAAAACCCTTTTTTTTCTTTGTCATTATGGGGTATTGTGCATAGATTGATGAGGGAAAAAACCGATGTAATCGATTTTAGAATAAGGCTGTAACCTAACAAAATGTGGTAAAAGCCAAGGGGTCTGAATACTTTCCGAAGGCACTGTAAATGTTCTATCCAGGTGTGAATTACAGGGGAGCCAGGGGGGGCTCAGCTACCATGAATGAGACATTAGCTCCCCTAAATGAAACAAAAGTCCAACTTTGGGGGGGGGGGGGGTCTCTAAATAATGCTAATTTAACCATTCTCCTATTTGTTTAAAATGCAGTGGTAAATATGTTTTACAGTGGTAAATATGAAAATAAAAGTTTACAAATTAATCGAACACCCCCACCTCTCTGTCGTGGTTTAAACCATTTATTTCTCCGTGGTTGCACAAACCGTGGCTGCACAAACTGTGGCTGCACAAACCGTCTCCCTGTCCACAGCACTGTCCACTCAGTAGTGCTGAATTTCAGCCTCAGCTGAGCTCCTTTAAACGCATAGATTTTTCTTTGTACTTGCTCATTTTCGCCATGTGTTTGCCATGTGCCCTTGATAAAAATAGCCTTTGCCTTTATTCCAATGCATTAAATGTATCTGTTCATACATCATTGTTTGCTTTTGTCAGTCAGCTGTTTAGGTGCGCGCGGGTATTGGTGGTCTCTGTGCCGTCCGTGACCACAAGTAGACCATTTATTTAGCTTGATTATTTTCTATCAATATTTGTTTTCTTGCCTGGATCCACTGATGATTGTCTCCAATATCACTAGACAACTAGCCTACAGCTAAACACCAATGCGCATCCAATCCAGCCAACATGAATGACAGTAGGCCTATAGTAGAGTCTTTAGAAGCATTCGATTTGGCAATGGCATAGGACTACATTATTTTGGATAATGACAATTTACGTAGCCATGGTTACACTTACAGTGCTTTTTCAGAGATCTCCAAGATCCAGGAATAGTACAGGGTTTAAGTTCAATGTTCTAAATCAATTGTTAAATGCTGAAGAATTACAAATAGCACGGTCATAAATGTCATTAAATGTAAGGAAAGAAAGGTTGTCGTTTATTTCACACGATCTGTGAAGACTCCAAGCATTCATGTCTTGAATTATGGACAACTCATGAACTATGGTGTAACCATGTTTTGATTCAACTTGTGTATTATATTGAATGTAGGCTACCTGTTCTGTGTGTGTTCATGTGTGTAAAATGGCCTCGGCTGAGAGGGTAGGCATAGGCCTAGTGGAGGGTAAATGCAACTAAATGCAGTTTACCCTCCTTTTTCAGAAAAATGCATTGAAAGGATAGGGAGCGTAACTTTTTTTCCGCGACCGGCAATCAGAGTTTACCCACCAATTTTTTTACCACTACATCACTGGCTACCGGTAGTCCTATTTGAAGTTCATGTTAATAGAGCCCCACAGTGGAGATGTCATAAATGTACCTACATTTTAGCAGACACTCTTATCCAGAGCGACTTACAGTTAGTGAGTGCATACATTTTTCATACTGGCCCCCCGTGGGAATCGAACCCACAATCCTGGCGTTGCAAGCGCCATGCTCTACCAACTGAGCTACAGGAGGCTTAATACCCATAAAACCTAGCGGTCATACAGGGAAATGGTTCCAATCGTTTTTCCACCATTCATTTTTCCCATAGGGGATTTTAGAAACACGTATCTCCTGAATGGCACAGTGGTCTAAGGCACTGCATCGTAGTGCTAGCTGTACCACTAGAGATCCTGGTTCAAATCCAGGCTCTGTCGTAGCCGGCCGCGACCGGGAGACCCATGGGGCGGCGCACAAATTGGCCCAGCGTCGTCCAGGGTACGGGAGGGAAAGGCCGGCAGGGATGTAGCTCAGTTGGTAGAGCATGGCGTTTGCAACGCCAGGGTTGTGGGTTCGATTCCCACGGGGGGCCAGTATGAATAAATAATAATAGTAAATAATGTATGCACTCACTAACTGTAAGTCGCTCTGGATAAGAGCGTCTGCTAAATTACGTTAAAGTAAGGGCTGTGTTTTGTGTAGGCTTACCCTGGCGTGACATTTTGATATCCATGTAAATCTCTCTCAGACAAGGTGACTTTTATCAATATATTCGGCTCTATTTACTCTTACATTCTAAAACGCTAATTAGCATAAACATAGACATCATGCAAGACTACAAATCCCTGCAAGCTCCTGCACATCATCTCTAGCTGACACCTTTGCTAACAGGTATTGTGTCAATTTAAAACGTGCACAAGACAGTTTACAGAATTGTCAATTTAAAGAAATGTAGCCAATTTATTCATTGCTACATTTAGCTAACATTAGATAGTTAATCCAGAGATTCTTACCTTTGCCTCTATTCGGCAGTCTCGTCCAGATCATCATGGCATTTGTAGTTCTTTATGATAGCCACATTAGCAGCTAATTAGCGTATCATTTTGGGGGGATAAATACAGGCAACTATATTGATAAAAATCACCTTGTCCTAGAGAGATTTATACGGTTATCAAAACGTCACACCAGGGTAAGCCCACACGAAACAAAGCCCTTATTTTAAGTGTTTCTAAAATCCCCTATCGGAAAAATGAATGGTGGAGTGGACGAACATGCACAGGTAGCCTACATTTTGAAGTGATTTGTTTGACAATCAGATGAAAGCATGACTGGTTGTGTTCATGCCACATTAAAAGGTAGTTCATTTTTTACCCTAAAATGATGTCTTTATTATTAAGCCCCCAAAAAAAGTAGAGACCCCCCCCCCCCCCCCCCTCCCGAATGTCACAGTGTAATTCGCACTCTGCTTCTATCTATCTACATAAGACACAAGACAATGTCAATCAGTAACACTCTGTTACTGAATAATGTGTTGACTCTTAAATTGCACTCTGTATTCAGGTCTCCAGGTTACCTTGACAGGACTGTCGAAGAGCCCGTTGAGTTTAGCGAAGGATCCGGTGGAGTCGCTGCAGGAGGGGGCTGACTCTGCGTCTTTGTGGGCGTGCCGGGGCTTGTGGCGGAGGAAGGAGTCTCTGTAGCAGAAGACCACCAGGCCTGCCACTAGCGCCCCCAGGAGGAAGGCAGCCAACACACAGCTGATCAGGATATTCATGTGGACCATCTGATTGGCTTCTCCCGCCTGGATCTCCCACACACCTGAAGTCACACACCCCATTGGTTAACGAACACCCCGACACAGCCAATCATAGCTCTACACCACACCTCTATAGCAGGTGAGTCTGTGTGTGTTTGTGGACACTCAGTCATGCATGGTTTCTCTGCTTTTCCCCTTAAAGGTATTCTGTCCGCTATCCAACAGGGATTTTAACGTTACCAAAACCATTCAGATTGGCTTCCACTCTCGTCATTCTTAAATTGTAAATACATGGTGAAAATGGTTAGGATCCCACAACCAGTCCGGTGATGTAAGCCAATCTAGAAGAAGTAGTGGTATGTTAGTTTGAAGAGGAAGAATTGAAGTGTTGCTTTTTTCCTACCAAATGTCAAACATTTGTCCAGATAAAAAGGAGGGTTAGTGCATTCCTAACTAGGACAGAGATAGACTTGTTCTCCCAATATCAGAAAGACAATGAACCATTGACTCTCCAGCGTTGTCAAAGGGAAGAGGATTGTAGTTTGTCCTTGGTGAGGCTGTTCTGTTTCTAGACTGCAGCTTTGTTAGTAACCACAGACATGGAAGAGTTAGTCATCCACAGAGCAGGAGAGAGACAGAGAGATGTCCTGGAGCAGGAGGGGTTAATGGACAGGCCTGGGACATGCTCTAACTCCTAACTCCCAGGGTTAACCCTTTACACCCAGGAACAGGGTTAACCTTAAACTGTACCAGCCAGGGTTATAGGGTCTACTGGCAGAGAGAGAAACGAGGGTCAAAGAAAAGAGTCTGAAGAAAGAATATAGAAGTACAGAAGGTTTGAAGATAAGATTTGAAAGAATTGTTTAATATGGGAGAAAATATTTTCACCATGTAGAAAATCATTATAATCATGACAATAAACCAATGAATAAATCAAAATACATGAAGTTGGATGAAATATAAATCATAACAAAATCAGAGAAAGAAAAATGTAATCTGCTATATCAGCTGATGGTAATCTCAAATACCTGCCACTGTGTGTGTGTGAATACTGCCCCTGTGTCTGTGTGAATACTGCCCCTGTGTGTGTGTGTATGAAGTGTGTCTGTATGTATGAGTATGTGTGTGTATGGTGTAGCAGCTATGGGACAGTCAGGGTTCCATACAGCATGGTAGCAGCAGTTCTCTCTCTCTCTGCTAGGCCTTACCCTCTAGGCCCCCTGGGAGTGACTCTAGTGAATGGGAGGTGGCCGGGTCATCCTGCTGCACAAACCCTGAGCCATACAGATCTGGAGAACCAGCCCCAGGCCCCAACCCAGGCCCTTCCCCGGGACCAAGCCCAGGATGGGGGCTCAGGGTGGGGGTGAGTACTGGGGGTACTGGGGGGTGTATTGGCCCACTGGGCTGGTCTGTGACTGACGTAGATGACAACTCCATGTCTGTGGTGACAAACAAAGTGTTAACACGGTGTGTAGACATGAGGCCAGCAGGCTGTTAGCTTACATCCTGGTTAGTAGGCATGGGTTGGTATGTGTACGCACGTATGGGTTAGTTTACGCAACATAATAGGTTTTATGTTTTATGATAATGCTGTTTGAAAAAAATAATACATATTTTCTGATTCAAGAGCTATTTTATTTATCATAAACAGTAATAGAAATACAATTGTAAGATTCATTTTGTTGAGACAGGATACAGTTTGAAAGGGGAAAAGGGTGAGAGTTGTCTTAGGAAGGTCTCTGGTACACAGCAGCGATGATGTCATAGCAGTGATGACGTCAGAAGAGGGAGGGGCTGAGTGAGCATGCAGGAAGTAAACAGGAAGTGATGCGTGAGGAAGAAGAAGTGAGGAAGTGAGTCAGTGCAGCGGTGAGATGGAGATCTCTGACGTGACCCAGTGATGTTGTTGTTTGTTGTGATGATGATGAAAGTGAAGATAAAAAGGTGTTGAAGATTAGGTGTGTTAAGAAGATGAAGAGTGAGTAGCGTTGAAGGAAGGAAGGAGAGAGGGGTTCGGAGAAGCTGAACTCAAGGAAAGAAAGAAACCAGCGGAGTAAAAGATCCAACTAACCAGAGGTCGGGTCACCAAATGATTTGTGATCTGGCGCTGATGTAGTGGCCAAAAACACTAAAACAATTAGAGGAACAAGAAATCAGTATAAAGGAACCCTAAAGTAAAGTCCCAAAACAAAAGAAGGCCCTGATAACTAAGACTGTAGTTCTTCTTAATCAAATGATAAAAAGCTAAAGGCTGAGTAGGCCTGTTGCTCCCAGTCTTGTCTAGACTGGAGTAGAGACAGGTATGTATGGCCTCTATCCCCTGTTCTAGTTCTATGGTTCAGCCTGGTGTGTCTCCTATAGCAGCACTGTCTTAGTACTGCTACTGCTACTGGTAGAGCACGTCTATGTTTCTTCCCTCCAGGTAGGTAGCATTAGTAACAGGTGGCCTGGTGTGTACAGTATGTGGATGTACAGTAGATGTGTGTGTTAATATTGAACATAGAACCATGTAGGGAGGGTTACTGATTGGTGTGTTGGTATGGTGTGGTTACTGGTGTTAGTGGTAGTGTGTTACTGGTTGGTTGTGCAGACTGATGGTGTGTGACAGGGAGAGAGAGAGAGAAAGAGCTGGATTGGTATGAATGGGAGGGGCTCACCATGGCAGTCTCCCAGTTGAACCGTGTTCCCAAACTCTACATCCTGCTCATAACCAGACCTGAGAGAGAGAGAGAGAGAGAGAGAGAGAGAGAGAGAGAGAGAGAGAGAGAGAGAGAGAGAGAGAGAGAGAGAGAGAGAGAGAGAGAGAGAGAGAGAGATTAGAGCAGAGAACAAAACCCCTCTAACATCAACATTTCCTTTTAAATGGATTGAGATGTAGCCTATATGAAGTCTAGCTACTTCTGAAGCCCATGTTGTGCCCTGCAAATACATTTGTTTATTATAAAAACCTAAAATGTTGATACAAATACCTGTCATTGAAATGAAAAAGTCATTTTGTGGAATATAAGGTTTCTACATTATGTAAAAGCACTATTTTCGTATTGAGATGCATTACATTGACAATTGTACACTGTCTCTTTAAGAGTGTTTGTGATGATGAAATGCAAGACATCTCATTCAAATCATATAACATTTTATTGGTCGCATACACATATTTAGGAGGTGTTATTGCGGGTCTAGAGAAATGCTTGTGCAATTTATTGTGCCATTCATTCATTGATCATTGATTCCCTGAAGAAGCTATCCCTTTCTATGTTTGGATATACAGGTAAAGTTAGCAGGTTGTTAGCTAGCTAGCTAATGAGCTAACAAACATGACTGAACAAGGTGTAAAACAAATGCGGCCCGCGAGTAGTTTTAGAACGGCCCGCGACATGGTTTATGAATGTAAAATGCGGCCGCCGTTTTGCCAGTAATATGGGTCAAACCTTTTGAACTGTTTGGGCTAAAAACAAGCAGTTTTCGCTGTATTAATGGTGCAAGCATGATGCTAACTAATCTGCGCTCAGGAAACAACAGTACAGCGAAGCCTTATCATTACAAACATTATTATTAAAATGAATTAAAAAACAAATATTGGATTTGTTTTGGTCGCACTGGTGATCCCAAATTAAAAACTCCAGGTCGCACAGCAAAAATGTTTGTTGCATATGCGACCAAATTGGTCACACTTTAGAGCCCTGAGTATCCATACTATTTAGTATTGTAATACTTGGTACTCACAGAACTCCAGGCAGGATCCTCTCACAGGCTCCATGAGGCATCCAGCCACAATATGGGTCCCTGGATGCTATACAAGACCTAGGGGAGAAACACAACACAGGGTTAACATATATCTGTAAATATACAGTTCACCATACAGGGTTAAATAGGCAGCACCAGTTAACCTCTGTCTGGCTGTATATTAACCAGTGTGCTGCAGGTGTTCTCAATGTTTATAACATGTAGATAGAGAAAAACACATCAATAAACCTACAAATCTGTGACCAGGCACAGCATAAAGTAACCTTTGAGTGGAGTGTGTGCACGTTTCTGAATGTGTGTGTGAGTCTGAGTCTGAGTGCACGAGTGTGTGTCAGTGTGGTGACTCACTTGTGGCAGTTAGTGTGTCGCTCACAGCGGCTGAGAGGCATGCGAACCACACAGCTGGAGAAAGCTACGTACACACTGTGTGTGTCTCTGTCAACATGGAGCGACAAAATACGCCTGTCATCCTCACTGTTAGACAGACACCTGGGAGACAGAGAGAAAAGAAGAATGGGAGGAGAGGGGTTGGGAGAGGAGAGGGAGTAGGGGAGAGCGAGAAAGGGAGGGTGGTGGAGGGGGGAGATGGAGAGGAGAGTCAGAAATCAGATTACAGGTTACTTGAACAGTTGTTTATCAGATAGGCCTGTCTACTGTTTCACTCTCCAGATGTAATCACAGTGGCACTGTTTAGCCCTGATACCCTTACTGACAGGAGAGAACGAGAGACTGAGAGGAAGACAGAGGAGAGAGAGAGACAGAGGAAGACAGAGGAGAGATAGAGACAGAGGAAGATGGAGACAGAGAGAGAGACAGAGGAAGACAGAGGAGAGAGAGAGACAGAGGAAGATGGAGAGAGAGAGAGAGACAGGGGAAGACAGAGGAGAGAGAGTTAGACAGAGGAGAGAGAGAGACAGAGGAAGATGGAGACAGAGAGAGAGAGACAGAGGAAGACAAAGGAGAGAGAGAGAGAGACAGAGGAAGACAGAGAGAGAGAGACAGAGGAGGAGAGCGAGAGAGAGAGGAAGAGAGAGGAGAGACTGAGACGGTGAGAGACAAACAGAGAGACATTGAGAGGCACACAGAGGGAAAGAGAAAGAAAACACAGAGTGAGAGATAAGAGACCAAAAAAAGAGAAAGACAGAGACTAAGAGAGAGACGCAAAGAGTAAGAGAGAGACAGTGAAAGACAGAGACTAAGAGAGAGAGACAGAGACTAACATAGAGAGACATAGACTAAGAGAGAGACAGTGAGAGACAGAGACTAAGAGAGAGAGACAGTGAGAGACAGAGACTAAGATAGAGAGACAGTGAGAGACAGAGACTAAGAGAGAGAGACAGTGAGAGACAGAGACTAAGAGAGAGAGACAGTGAGAGACAGAGACTAAGAGAGAGAGACAGTGAGAGACAGAGACTAAGAGAGAGAGACAGTGAGAGACAGAGACTAAGATAGAGAGACAGTGAGAGACAGAGACTAAGAGAGAGAGACAGTGAGAGACAGAGACTAAGAGAGAGAGACAGTGAGAGACAGAGACTAAGAAAGAGACAGTGAGAGACAGAGACTAAGAGAGAGAGACAGTGAGAAACGTGTAGTGAGTGTTCCGTACTTGGCTCTGTTGAACAGGTCAATCTCCTCCAATAGGATGCTGTCGTCGAAGGACAGAGGGGAAGTCTTGGCTAGAACCTTCAGCACCACGCCCGCCTCTGAACCAATGAACAGCACCGTGTAGTTACCATGGGGACCAGCCGCGTTGTCCACCGCCAGGGCTGTCAGCCTGTACCTAGAGAGACAGGGACAAGACAGGAGTACAGTCAGACTTCAGTAGGAATTATCAAGCCGGTATTTAAAGGCCCTCCTGTTGATCTACAAATGTGCATTTTTACTTGTTTTTGTTGAGTGTATGAAACCAAATGATTGTCCTTACAGTAGAATGGTGTGTTTGTCTTACGGTAACCCGGGAATTCCGATCACTCAAGCAACTCTTATGGTGTGTGTGTGTTTGTGTGTCCTTACCTGACGCGTGTCTTGGTGAACCAGGGCTCGTCTCCTATGTTAGGCACGGAGGCGTCCATGAGGGGGTGGGACTTGATGAAGAGGAGAGTCTCATCAGGGAACTCTATAGTGGTCTTATAGGACTCAGCCTGGCCATGACCCGCACAGCAGCCTGGCCTGGAGACATAGGGGTCAGAGAGGGGTCAAAGGTCAACACAGGTCACACATGAGCCCAGCTACCATCATCCTGTAGGGACTAATAAAGTTTACTCTATTGAATTTAACTGAGGAGAGGGGTTAGGGAATGAGAGAGGAGCAGAAGCCTGTCAGGTCAACAAAGAGACGTGCTGCTGTATCATTGTAAACATGAAGTGATAATAGAGGACTATAATCAGACGTTTGTTAATTATTTACCACGATAATGAGCAGCTCTGTGGACTTTTTGTGGGGCCAGAGAGCTGAGCTACGTGTGTGTGTGAATGGCCGTATGCAGGTTAAATATGCAACGTGTCTAATTATCTAGATTAATTATTTACTGCTAATAACCACCAGCTGTGTGTGTGTGTGTGTGTGTGTGTGTGTGTGTGTGTGCGGTCATAGACCATGTCTCTCTTGTTAAAGAGGGTTTATCTCAATGAGACCTAAACTCAAGGATATAGTGACAATAAAGCTCTGCGCAGCCTGGCATCATAAACTGAAGGGAGGGGTCATGTACCTGTTGTTGTGCAGACTGACATACACTTACTGAGACATACTGGGTTAGGGTTAGAGGTAGGGTTAGACACTGACATACTGTAGGTATAGTACCTGGGATTGGGTTAGAGACTGACATACCTGGCTTGAAACTTGAGACTGACATACCTGGTTTTGGGTTATGGTTAGGGTAAAGGTACAGGTACATACCTGGGTTTGGGTTAGGGTAAAGGTACAAACCTGGGATAGGGTAAAGGTACAGGTACATACCTGGGTTTGGGTTAGGGTAAAGGTACAGGTACAGTACATACCTGGGTTAGGGTAAAGGTACAGGTACATACCTGGGTTTGGGCAGTCTCTCCTCTGGGAAGGCGGTCCAGACAGAGTCAGGTGTTTTCTGTTCTTTAAATCGTCCTCTGAACACCTTCTCTATGTCATCCATGGAGAACGCACACACTGCAGACCCTGGGATACTGACGAGAGGAACACAACCACACACTGTTACACAACTACTATTAACTAGATATGGAGAAAACACACACCCCAAGAGATTCACAATAACAACACATCTATTACACCAATATTACAAAGAGTGTATCCCAAATGGCACCCTATTCCCCATATAGTGCACCACTTTTGACCAGAGCCCTATGCTCCCTAGTCAAAAGTAGTGCACTATAAAGAGAACAGGGTGCCATTTGGGATACACGCTCAGTGTGTCCATCCTTACCTGTTCATCTGTGTAGTGAAGACTCCCACCACAGAAGGAACTCCGTTGATGTTGATGATGTCAGTGATAGACTGTAGAACATCGAAGTAGAAGAAGGATTCTCCGGGAACAGAACAGTTGAGTCTGGCCTTGACGAAGGACGTCCAGTGTTTCTCCAACACACGCTGGGACCCGCCTACGTCGTTCTTACAGATACGAGCCACTCTGGAGTAGACCGCCTGGAGACGAAAGGGGGAGCAGGGGAGGGAGAGAAGAGAAAAAGTGAGACTCTGGAATCAACATCACTAAAACACTTCCACCCTCTAAATAATACATCTTCCTCATCCGGTGGCCTCACAGTGTGACGCACACTGACGCACACTGACGCTTATCCAGGACCTTGTGTCAGAGAGGACATTTGTTTGAAGCGCTCCGATTGAACAAACGCCTCACACACACACACAACTCTTGACCCTAAACCTGAGTCACACATACCTCTTGACCCTAAACCTTGACCCTAAACCTGATTCACACACACCTCTTGACCCTAAACCTGATTCACACACACCTCTTGACCCTAAACCTGATTCACACACACCTCTAGACCCTAAACCTGATTCACACACACCTCTTGACCCTAAACCTGATTCACACACACCTCTAGACCCTAAACCTGATTCACACACACCTCTAGACCCTAAACCTGATTCACACACACCTCTAGACCCTAAACCTGATTCACACACACCTCTTGACCCTAAACCTGATTCACACACACCTCTTGACCCTAAACCTGATTCACACACACCTCTTGACCCAGTCTGATTAACCTAGAACTAGGAAAGAGCTGGGCTATAGGAGTGGACTATATGATAGGGGCTGGGCTATAGGAGTGGGCTATATGATAGGGGCTGGGCTATAGGACTGGACTATATAATAGGGGCTGGGCTATATGATAGAGGCTGGGCTATAGGACTGGGCTATATGATAGGGGTTGGGCTATAGGACTGGGCTATATGATAGAGGCTGGGCTATAGGACTGGGCTATATGATAGGGGTTGGGCTATAGGACTGGGCTATATGATAGAGGCTGGGCTATAGCACTGGACTATATGATAGAGGCTGGGCTATAGGACTGGGCTATATGATAGAGGCTGGGCTATAGGACTGGGACTGGGCTATATGATAGAGGCTGGGCTATAGGACTGGACTATATGATAGAGGCTGGGCTATAGGACTGGGCTATATGATAGAGGCTGGGCTATAGGACTGGACTATATGATAGAGGCTGGGCTATAGCACTGGACTATATGATAGGGGCTGGGCTATAGGACTGGACTATATGATAGAGGCTGGGCTATAGGACTGGACTATATGATAGAGGCTGGGCTATAGGACTGGACTATATGACAGAGGCTGGGCTATAGGACTGGACTATATGATAGGGGTTGGGCTATAGGACTGGACTATATGATAGAGGCTGGGCTATAGGACTGGACTATATGATAGGGGCTGGGCTATAGGACTGGGCTATATGATAGAGGCTGGGCTATAGGACTGGGACTGGGCTATATGATAGAGGCTGGGCTATAGGACTGGACTATATGATAGGGGTTGGGCTATAGGACTGGGCTATATGATAGAGGCTGGGCTATAGGACTGGGCTATATGATAGGGGCTGGGCTATAGGACTGGGACTGGGCTATATGATAGAGGCTGGGCTATAGGACTGGGCTATATGATAGAGTCTGGGCTATAGGACTGGGCTATATGATAGAGGCTGGGCTATAGGACTGGGCTATATGATAGAGTCTGGGCTATAGGACTGGACTATATGATAGAGGCTGGGCTATAGGACTGGGCTATATGATAGAGGCTGGGCTATAGGACTGGACTATATGATAGAGGCTGGGCTATAGGACTGGGACTGGACTATATGATAGAGGCTGGGCTATAGCACTGGACTATATGATAGGGGCTGGGCTATAGGACTGGGCTATATGATAGAGGCTGGGCTATAGGACTGGACTATATGACAGAGGCTGGGCTATAGGACTGGACTATATGATAGGGGTTGGGCTATAGGAGTGGACTATATGATAGAGGCTGGGCTATAGGACTGGACTATATGATAGAGGCTGGGCTATAGGACTGGGCTATATGATAGAGGCTGGGCTATAGGACTGGGCTATATGATAGAGGCTGGGCTATAGGACTGGACTATATGATAGAGGCTGGGCTATAGCACTGGACTATATGATAGGGGCTGGGCTATAGGACTGGACTATATGACAGAGGCTGGGCTATAGGACTGGACTATATGATAGGGGTTGGGCTATAGGAATGGACTATATGATAGAGGCTGGGCTATAGGACTGGACTATATGATAGAGGCTGGGCTATAGGACTGGGACTGGGCTATATGATAGAGGCTGGGCTATAGGACTGGACTATATGATAGAGGCTGGGCTATAGGACTGGACTATATGATAGAGGCTGGGCTATAGGACTGGGACTGGGCTATATGATAGAGGCTAGGAGGAGAGTTATAGGTTTTACAGTGTTGCGGTAAATGAGGCTAGGACCAGGTAGACGTCTAAGAGTAGAAGTCTATGGTAGAAGTCTAGGGTAGAAGTCTAGGGTAGAAGTCTAGGGTAGAAGTCTAGGGTAGAAGTCTAGGGTAGAAGTCTAGGGTAGAAGTCCAGGGCTGGGCTATAGGACAGGGATGTGGGGGACTAGGGGTAGAGCTCGGTGTTGGACTGTTGGGCTGTGGGGGACTAGGGCTAGAGCTCTGGGTGAGTATTGTGGTTTAAATGAAGTGTGTGAAGCAGTCAGCAGAAACAGCTTTAATAATTGACCAGTGCAAAGCTCCATCTGCCCAGGTGTCATCCCAGGCCCATCAGCATTGACACACACACACACGTACGCCACGCACACACAGGGACATACACAAACGCCAGCATTACTAGCGCTAAAATATTTATCAGCCCGCGGTTTCAGCCTGGCCGCCCATTCTCTGAATGATGCATCATGGGTAAATCTGAGGCCCGCGGCGGCTAAATCATACTAATAGCTGCAGAAAACATCCATTACCACCAAGGGTGTGTGTGTGTGTGTGTGTGTGTGTGTGTGTGTGTGAATCCTCTCCATGGGTAAAGGGTTTACATGTAAAGTAGTTTGACCTACAGTTCAGTCACTACCTTCTGTTGTACTCAGCACTTTTCTACAACACTATCTGTTGTCTGGTAATATAGTGTTTACTATTTATAATAAATACATATTTATAATACACAATGTTGTCTAGTAAACTGTGTGTGCACATATGTGTGCGTGTTTGCGTGTGTACGTATGTGTGTGCGTCTTACCTTGCCCAGGTTGTTGTGTTCCGCTGCGATCTCTCTGTAGAAGAAGTAGACGTAGTTCCCATAATCCACTGCATGCAGGAAATGGGGCTCTGGAAGAGAGAGGGGACAGAGGTTTTACATTGTCACGTCTCTTTTGTCTCTCCCTCCATTTCTACTTGTACCTCTTTCTATACATAACTATCTCTGTCCTCCCTTCAGACTCTCTCTGTCTCTCTCCTAACCATTTCTCCCTCTCTCTCTGTTCTCCTCCCCTCTCCCTCCTTCCCCACTTCTCTTTCTCTCTCCCTATTTCCCTCTCTCCCTCCATCCTGAATATTTCAGTGTTCCTGTAACAGCTGTGTGTGACAGAGTTGACCTAGATAGTCTGACAGAGTAGAGCTACAGGACGTCTTCACAGGACAGGGACATGGACAGAGACGGCTGCCACCACACACACACACACACACACACACACTGCTGTGTTTACCTTTCAGCCATTTGGAGTCGTATTTGATGGTCCTGAGGGCCGAGCCGTCACCCATACTACGGTAGATCACTGCGTCGCTCGCCAGGAAGTCAGCAACCGTCGCCGAGTACAGCTTCCCGTCTGAAACAACACACACACACAGGTCAGACAAACACATTGCATTCTGTCATACTGGACATGTCGATCTAGCACCCTAGTTCAAACTGTTTGTTTACACACTGACAATGTGGCACCTTATGAACCCTAGTTGCTATGGCCACAGTATGCGCGTGTGTGTGTGTGTATGTGGTCATACCAGCGAACAGAGCGACGTTGGTCTGCTTGGCGTCGAACGGGCATCGTGCCAGTCCGCTGATTTCCTCCCCGTCAAACTCCAGGTTATCCAGCTACACACAAAGACACACGCGTCGTTAACAAAGACACACAGACTGCATAGTAAACAATTGGTGCTTATCGAGGCAGAGCAGGAGGGAGAGAGAACGTTTCTCACACACACACACTCTGCTGTTGTCTTACCCTGTAGTATCGGCACATGGGGTTGAAGCCATTAGTTCCACAGATGAACACCAGGTCATCATTTCTGGGAACCAGAACCTTGATGTAGTTATGACACTCATCCTGGAGGAGAAAGAGAGGGGGAGGGAGAGAGATGGGAAGGGAGAGAGAGAGAGAGAGAGATGGGAAGGGAGAGAGAGAGCGAGAGAGAGATAGCGAGAGCGAGATAGCGAGAGAGAGAGAGAGAGAGAGATATGGGAAGGGAGAGAGAGATGGGAAGAGAGAGAGAGAGATGGGAAGGGAAAGAGATGGGAAGGGAGAGAGAGCGAGAGAGAGAGAGAGCGAGAGAGAGAGAGAGAGAGAGAGAGAGAGATAGCGAGAGATGGGAAGGAGAGAGGATGAGAGATGGGAGATGAGAGGAGAGATGGAAGAGAGATCCTGCTAAACCCATTTAGCTATAATGGTAGGTATAGCCAGTAATTAAAATGGTAGCTATAGCCAGTAGCTATAATGATAAGACATTATGAGGTGAGAGGTAAAGCCAAGGGTAGAGAGAGTATATAGTAGACAGTAGAAAGGCAGTGTATAGTAATTATAGAAACATAGTATAATAATAAGTATAGTAAAGTCTTACTCTGTGTTTCCCCTTCATGGCACAGTTCTTTCTGTCTGCCTCGCCTGACCTCCATGTTAACTTCTGTAAACATGAACACACACACACACCCACACACATTTAGAAACACACACACATTGTGGCATGCACATTCAGGCAAGCACACACATACACTTTAGTATATGGGATTTCCTACACTGGACAACTTGTTACAGTTGTTGATAAGTCATTGATAATAATCTGCCCATTTTCTTTCATGTCATTACATGAAGATATAAGGGGGGATCATAGCTATATTCAATCAAATTCACAAGTTGATTTAAAACCTGTTTAACCCTTTATCATGGTTGGCGTCTTGACGGATCTGTCCAAAATCATGTGACATAAAACATTACTTTTCTGTCCTTGCATTTATGGCAGTGTAAGTGTCGTTATATCATATCTTAAGCATGAATCTGTTAAATTAGACATTGAACTTTAACCCTGTAAGAATCCTGGATCTAGCTGTTGGACAGTTTTTTTGTATAGTGATCTCAGAAATGCAGTGTAACTACGTAACATTTCGTGTCTCCTTATGTTACGTGTTGAAAACAGTTTTTATGGGCACACAAATCCCAAATGATGTATGCGATTGCAAAATCGAATGCTTCTAACCGAAAGAGTCACCTTACCTTGATACTTAAAACCTAAATTGATACTGTCATTAACGTGGTTCTTCAATAATTATGCATAATACTTGTTGGATGCGCATTTGGTGTCCAGTTGATTAGTTACGCCGTGATATTGTCTTACATCATCTGATCCAGGAAGGAATTTCCGTCAAGTGATGAACGAACATCTGTTGTGATAGCGCATGCGATGCAACAATAATAATAATAATAATAATATGCCATTTAGCAGACGCTTTTATCCAAAGCGACTTACAGTCATGCGTGCATACATTTTTGTGTATGGGTGGTCCCGGGGATCGAACCCACTACCTTGGCGTTACAAGCGCCGTGCTCTACCAGCTGAGCTACAGAGGACCAACAAGAGCCCAAGTGCTGGAAAACAGGTGTTTGCGAGAAATGTCAAGAATATTTTGGTGTCTCATTTGTTACACCGGTGAAGACAGTTGTTCCTGGATCCACGTTGGATCTAATATCCCTAGTGAATTGATGTTGATCACCTGTTGTTATCTGCTTGATTTACAGCAGGGTCTCATTAGATTTTAACAAAGAAAACATTAAAGGTAATGAGTTCATGTTTTCATATGTTTTTGTGCCGCGGATTGGACACTGAGTCTACTGTGCGCAACACCTAACACTATTCCTATTCATTATTCCGGATATAATGACAACAAATGACATTCACAGTAGGATCTGGTAATGAAATAACATGACAAATACATTTTGTTTTCCATGTTATACCTGCAATTTTAAACAATACAAGGGGCTTGAAGTAACCTACTTGAACTTGAATTTGGAGCTCAGAAATTCAAGACCTGGAATAGGCCTACCTTGAAAATCAGACATTTCCTCAATCTGGTGCTTGAAAAGTACTTGTAATTATTGTAGCCAATTTATAAGTTCTCCTGCTCCCTTATAATTATCTGTGATTTCATTTTGATCCGTTTTTGTGAGAGATGTGGTCACTTTCATTTGTTTCCCGCCGCTTCAATTGAAGGGTGTTGCTCTACTCTGTTGTGGAAAAACCATGTGCGGTTATTATGAGGCTCAGTTGGTAGAGCATGGCGCTTGCAGCACCAGGGTTGTGGGTTCGATTCCCACGGGGGACCAGTACAAGAAAAGTATGAAAATGTATGAACTCACTACTGTAAGTCGCTCTGGATAAGAGCGCCTGTTAAATGACTAAAATGTAAACGAGAACATCTGTTGGCTTCCCATACAAATTCTTCCATTAAAAAAGGAACCTGGTTTTTGGTCACTTTCTCATTATAAAAACAGCGATGGTGAGATTCAAATGGTGAGATTAAAGCTACCGCTATTCATGGCTTTATTATGTATCCCTGCGTAAGCCACATAGGCTACAGAAAAATGGCCATGCATGCATCCAATCTATTTACACATGAGGAACTGCATGAAACCATTTTGAAATGTTGATCCCAATGTCACACATTGGCCCCATTATTTTAGAAAGACCCATTTCCACTCTCATTTATAGCCTGTTAATTGTGTGATTGATGAGGTAGTGTTTTCTACAGAGGAATTGTGTGTAACTCTGTGATTAACTTGTGGTTAGACAGACTTACCCTGTAGGGAATGATCTCATTCCTGTAGGATTCTCGGAGACTCACTAGATACACCTGGTCTCTGCCAGCGATGAACAGTGTATCCTGTATCTTGGTCATCAGTTGGAAGTCCAGTCTGTGCTGTGACTCGTTCCCCGACAGACGACCTCGGAACACTGGGTACTGCCGCGAGACTGAAATACACATACACACACGTTAGTCAGAGATCACACACACACACACACACACACGTAAGCTTTCAGAGTGCTACACACACACACACACACTTCTCTGTTTCTCAGAGGGCCACACACTAGCAATCAGGTTATTGATTAAGCGTAAACATGTCGTGTGTTACAGCTTTATAGAAATCTTTCAGTAATGTAATGCAGGCTGCTGATACAGCACGGTGGTGTGTGTGTGTGTGGACATGTTTAACTATACTTGTGGGGACCAGAAGTCCCCACAAGTATAGTACACAGAATGTTTTTTGACCAACAAGGTCAAATGCTATTTCTAAGGGGGTTTAGGGTTAAGGTTAGAATTAGGTTTAGGGTTAGGAGCTAGGGTTAGGTTTAGGGAAAATAGGATTTTGAATGGGACTGAATTGTATGTCCCTACAAGGTTAGTTGTACAAGACTCTGTGTGTGTGTGTGTGTGTGTGTGTGTGTGTGTGTGTGTGTGTTTGTGAGAGTTACGGTAGGCCAGCTCAGCAGTCTTTGTATTCCCTGTGTACATCACAGAGGAAGGGAATCTAGTTAATGCCTGAGCTGACGATGGACAGGATTGATTTTATACGGGGGCATACAATGTCTGATAAGTCAGCACATTACATTACCATGAAGACCTTACAGTACACCATCAATACACTGTTCACTGATACATGCAGGACAATGGGACACATAATTAATGACAACAGGGTGCGTGCAAGCGTGCGTGCATGTGTGTGCAGTATGTCTGTGTGTGTGTGTGTGTGTGTGTGTGTGTGTGTGTGTGTGTGTGTGTGTGTGTGTGTGTGTGTGTGTGTGTGTACTCACAGTGTGCGTCGACAATGTCCAGGGGTATACTATCCTCTGGGAAGCTGGCAGACAGGGTGTGTGTGGCTGTAGCTAGCAGTATGCTGAATAGAAGGCCTGCTCTCCAAACCATGACTGCTGCTTCTGGTCTGAGACCACTCCTTCCTGCCTGGTTCTCACCCAACATGATGTTACCTGGAAACACAGAGACGATCAGTCATGAAATACAGAAATACATACATGGTCAGGAAAGTCTAGAACTAACAGAAGCTAACAGAATTCAGTATTGACACCAAATGTATATTTAAAATAATATTTTTCACTGTCATTTTCTGTAATCGCTCCCTATATCTCTCTCACACATACACACACACTCAATTTCTCTCTCCTTCTCACTCTCTGAACCCCTTTTACATGTAAACTGTTTTTACCAGGGACTATTGTACCAGGGTGTATTGTAGATCACGTTTGAATGTTTAGTGGTTTTAAGTTGAGATCATTTATGACATGAGCCGTACCTCGGATGACCTGATCAGCTACTGTGTGTCTGTGTGTGTGTGTGTGTGTGTGTGTGTCTGTCTGTGTGTGTGTATGTGTGTTTGTGTGTATGTGTGTGTATGTGGGAGTGGCAGCAGCCCTTTAGAGACGGCGTGTGTGTGCATTTTAATGAACGTCCAGTCAAATATTTATAAGACAAACAAATTATTAATGTGGACAGTCTGAATGGATATACACAATTTACCACTAAACAACACACACACACACACACACACACACACACACACACAGGGGGATGGATTAGCCAGCAGCACACTGAGACACACACACACACAAAAGTGTGCACACAAGCAGAATATCCCAGTGTACCACTGATAAGCACGCCATCACTGTGCGCACACGGCCACACACACACAAACCAGTATTGACACGTTTTCAATTAGCCCTAGGTCCACCTGCTTCAGAGCAGAGCTAGCTGGCAGCAGCCGGTGTGTCTGTCTGGCCAGCCCATTAGTATCTGATTGATCCAGTCAGGATGTACGCCTCACTAGGTTTATATACATGTTTACCTATATTAACTATTATACTAACTACAGCAGCCTCTATAGGTTAACACACCACAGCAGTTTACCTAAGGAACGTTATATTACATCGACTTTAGATGTAAGGAATATTAGATGTCATCGTTAGAGCAGCACAGTTGACCAATGAGAATGATGATGTCTGCTGGGGGATCGGATGGAACAATCAACACACTGCAGGCTAAATCTACTCTTCCTGTCTGATACTGTTAGCTGGCTGAATACACACAGCCTTAGATCTATGGTATCTATCTGTCTGTTAGAGTGGCCTGAGGAGGGTTATATCACTGTGGTGATGAGAGAGAGAGAGAGAGAGAGAGAGAGAGAGAGAGAGAGAGAGAGAGAGAGAGAGAGAGAGAGAGAGAGAGAGAGAGAGAGAGAGAGAGACAGAGAGAGAGAGAGAGAGAGAGAGAGAGAGAGAGAGACAGAGAGAGAGAGACAGAGAGTGAGACAGAGTGAGAGACAGAGAGTGAGACAGAGAGTGAGACAGAGAGAGAGTCACACCAAGCAGTATGACTGGCAGTGATGCATCGCCAGCCACTATGGAAGTACGGATGCACTACTGCTGGGAGGAACAAGCCCAGCGCCAGCTGGCTGAGCAGAACTGCTCTTCTCTTCAATTAGTGGTGTTAGTGGAGAAATTAGAGTTCTGATGTTTCAGCAATCAGAGCATCAGTGCAGAAAGATCTCTCTGGTGATCTAACACACATAGATGAGGCTGGCTACAGGATATCCCATACACAAACGATTAACTGATCCATACCGAACAATTCATATATCTATACCGAACGATTCACAGGTCTATACCGAACAATTCACTGATCTGCAACTGCGAGCAATTTCATCCCTCACCCTAACCAGGGGAGAAGAGGAATCGATAGAGAGGAGAGGAGAAAGAGAGAAAAGTAGAGACAACAACATGGGGACATGCCGCTTTAGCTACTTAAAGGGATAATGTGAGATAGTGGCATTTAAAACCTTTTTCTACTTACCCAGAGTCAGATGAACTTATGGATACAAATGTTATGTCTCTGCATGCAGTTTGAAGGAAGTTAAAGGTACAGTGCCTTCAAAAACTATCCACACCCCTTTTTCCACGTTGTTGTGTTACAAAGTGGAATTAAAATGGATTGAATTGTTGAATTGTCTTTTTTTTAAATCAACAAATCTACATAAAGTACTCTGTAATGTCAAAGTGGAAGAAAAATGTGAACATCATTTTTTTTTTTTATATGGAAAATATAACACTAATGAATATACAGTATGTTGATTAGATAAGTATTCAACCCCCTGGGTCATTATATATTAGAATCACCTTTGGCAGCGATTACAGCTGTGAGTCTTCCTGGGTAAGTCTCTAAGAGCTTTGCTCACCTGGATTGTACAATATTTGCCCATTATTCTGTCAAGTTGGTTCTTGATCATTGCTAGACAGACATTTTCAAGTCTTACCATAGATTTTCAAGCCGATTTAAGTCAAAACTGTAACTAGGCCACTCAACAACATTCCATGTCGTCTTAGTAACAACTCCAGTGTATATTTGGCCTTTAGGTAATTGTCCTGCTAAAAGGTACATTTGTCTCCCAGTGTCTGTTGGAAAACAGACTGAACCAAGTTTTCCTCTCGGATTTTGCCTGTGGTTAGCTCTATTCAGTTTATTTTTATCCTAAAAAACTCTCTAGTCCTTGCCGATGACAAGCATACCCATAACATGATGCAGCCACCACCATGCTTAAAAATATGAAGAGTGGTACTCAGTGATGTGTTGTGTTGGATTTGCCCCAAACATAACATTTTTTACATTTACATTTTAGTCATTTAGCAGACGCTCTTATCCAGAGCGACTATCAGTTAGTGAGTGCATACATTTTTCATACTGGCCCCACGTGGGAATCGAACCCACAACCCTGGCATTGCAAGCGCCATGCTCTACCAACTGAGCTACACGGGAGGCTAACGCTTTGTATTCAGGACAAAATATTTATTTGCCACATTTTTAACAGTTTTACTTCAGTGCCTTATTGCAAACAGGATCCATGTTTGGGAATATTTTTATTCTGTACAGGCTTCCTTCTTTTCACTCTGTAATTTATGTTAGTATTGTGGAGTAACTACAATGTTGTTGATCCATCCTCCGTTTTCTCATATCACAGACATTCAACTCTGTAACTGTTTTAAAGTCACCATTGGCCTCATGGTGAAATCCCTGAGCGGTTTCCTTCCCTGGTCTTTGTGGTTGAATCTGTGCTTGATATTCACTGCTCGACTGAGGGACCTTACAGATAATTGTATGTGTGGGGTACAGAGATGGGGTAGTCATTTAAACACTATTATTGCACACAGAGTGAGTCCATGCAACTTATTATGTGACTTGTAAGCACATTTTTACTCCTGAACTTATTTAGGCTGCCATAACAAAAGGGTTGAATGCTTATGGGCTCCCGAGTGGCGCAGTGGTCTAAGGCACTGCATCTCAGTGCTTGAGGCGTCACTACAGACCCCCTGGTTCGAGTCCAGGCTTTATCACAACCGGCCGTGATTGGGAGTCCCATAGGGCGGCGCACAATTGGCCGGTGTAGGCCGTCATTGTCAATAAGAATTTGTTCTTAACTGACTTCTCAGTTTTCATTTCTAAAAACATAACTCCACTTTGACATTATGGGGTATTGTGTGTAGATCAGTGACACCAAATCTCAATTTAACCCATTTTAAAATGTAGGCTGTAACAAATCAAAATGTGGAAAAGGTCTAGGGCTGTGAATACTCTCTGAAGGCACTGTAGTTTCGCGAGCCATTGCTAACTAGCATTAGTGCATTGACTGGAAGTCTACCAGAACAGCTAGCATGCTAGCTTAATTGCCAAAATCTGGCACTATCCCTGCTGCTGTTACTCTCCCTACAATCCAGATCATCATATCAATTCCAAAAAGTTGCCCTAGATAAAACGTCTTCTTTTCGAAACAGTTCTCGAGACAACAACTGATAATTAAATAGCTAAGAAGAAAACAATGAATACAGATACAATCAATAAAGTATAAACCATGGGAAATGATATGATCATTATAGAGCATTACTATACAGCCTCAAGGCTGCCTCAAGAGACGACAAGGCTCCTTTCACAGGTTAATCATTTATTCACAGGTAAATCATTAACCTCCCTTCTTAAGGATTCTCTCCCTCTCTACCTCTCTGTTTCTTCCTTCCTTCCTTCCTTCCTTCCTTCCTTCCTTCCTTCCTTCCTTCCTTCCTTCCTTCCTTCCTTCCTTCCTTCCTTCCTTCCTTCCTTCCTTCCTTCCTTCCTTCCTACTCTCTCTCATTCTTTTTAAAACTCCCTCTCTCTGTTATTGTGGCTCTCTAAACTGTTCCAGAGAAAAACACTTGGGCTGTAACTTCCCATGATGCCTAGTGGTGGAGTAGCAGTCTTTCTTGAGCAGCTCTAATGTAAAACAGAACAGAGAGGGAGAGGAAGGGGAGACATGGAGGGGTCAGCCTGCTAAAATTACCCTCAATCTGAGGCCAACCTAACATGTTCCCTATTCACTATCCTATTCCTGCCCTGCAGAGTGTGTGTGTGTGTGTGTGTGCACGTGTGCGTGTCCGTAGGCCTCGACAGGCCCTGAGACGCAGGAATAGAGCTAGTCACGCAACTCTGTCCTGTTCAGCCTTCCCCTCCTCCTCTCTCTGTCTGTTATTACAGGCTTTTCAGTATCCTACAATCACTCTCATACTGCTGATGTTGTTGGCTCAGACTCACTCTGTTTAAACACCAAGAGGAGGGTGTGTGTGTGTGTGTGTGTGTGTGTGTGTGTGTGTGTGTGTGTGTGTGTGTGTGTGTGTGTGTGTGTGTGTGTGTGTGTGTGTGTGTGTGTGTGTGTGTGGCGGGGGTCGTTGGCTGGTTGTTTCTCATTGGCAGGCTCTGCACCAAGTTGACTTATGAAGCTTGTTCTAGTTACAGTGTTTCAATCACAGAACCTGACCAACACCTATATTGTCATAACGTTTTAAGTAGCACAAGGATAACAAAGAACTTACAGATTGGGAGCAGCAATCAGTGTGGACATGACCTCCTCTCTGCATATATATATTATATATATATATATATATATATATATATATA